GTATAATATAATATAATATTGTTATTGTTATTATTGTTATTAGTGTGTTGAGCAGGTAGCAGTTGTGTTAGACATATTGGTGGATGTTAGAATCAACTGAAAATCTGATTTCTATAACTTAAACTTAATTATCCTTGTTTTATTTGCGAAAGTTGAATTTGATTTAACTCAAGGAGAGCTACCCTGCAGGAGGCCTACAATAACGGACTATTTTGAGAAAAAAAATTGTCACAACGTTTTTGAACGTGCTCAAAATTCAAGTGACACGTTTGCAAACCCAATCAGATGTTGAGAATGCCTTCAAAGGTTTCGAGACATTTTGGAGACTCCCCTTCGAATTCTGTCCACCAACCAGCTGTCAGCAGTCACAGCCCGGTGAGACGCTGCCTTTAGGAGGAGGACTCCAGTTTCAGCCTTTCTGCACACACAGTGCAGTTTCAAATCACATTTATCAGGTGGATCACACCATAAACAAAGCTTTGACTCTGCACATTTCTGTCGGATATAAGAAATCGTCTCAAATAGGAAGGGGAAACAAAAACAAGAAGTCCAGTTGTTTTAAAAAGGATCTCCTGGGACTGCTTTGTCTTTGAAAGTCCACATCGTCTGTCAAATCGAAGCATCAGATGCAAAGAGGTGTTGGCTTTAGATAGTTTTACATTCTAAGTGTTACCTTTTTTTTTCTGTCTGCTTTTATAATCTGTCAGGTCATGAGTATGCAGAAGACAACCTGCTTTTTGCCGCTGAGGTCGAGCCACACAACGCCGTCAGGGAAAACAAGTATCAGTGGGTGCTGCAGCAGCGTGGCCAGAAGCTCTGCACGGTGAGCTGATGCATCATCATTGTTATGCCTCTCAAGTACACCTAGCCAGGAAGGTGCTGGTGTCTTCCTGCACCTGGGAAACAAAGCTAATCACCCGCGTGCTGTCAAAGACTTCTGTTCACTCGCTGCTCTGTCAGGCTTACTGTAACGGTTCATCTGGGGTGCAGTCTGCAAAGCAAAGGTTTCTCTGTTTAGGGCTTTGCTAGAATTTAGATTTAATTTTTTTTTGTTAGCAAAACAGCATAGCAGTTTCACAGGTTTTTTAATGTTTTCTCTAGTGTTTTAACTAAAAATATGAACACAAAAGGTTTTTTTTTAGTAAGAGCTAACTGTTGAGAGCCAAGTAACCCATTATTCCCCTACATTTAGGGAAATAAATCCATAAAATGACATCTGGTTCCTTCTGTCAGCCCAGTTTTTAATCCCACAACGGGGTAGCTTTAAAAGAACATTTTTCTCCAAGTGGTACTGGCTTATGTTCTTTGAGTGTTTTTGGAAAGCACATCTGACTTCACTCAGATGTGTTTTCAGCTTGGCAAAACAGCAGAAGCACAGGTGTTACTAATAGGATTAACTCGGAGTATCCAAGTATCTCACTAAGCCATGACGGCACGCATGGAGCCAGGACACTGAAACTGAAGCAGCCAAGTGGGATTCATTCATAATTTCTGTTTATGCCTGTGACTTTCCTGTAGTAGCATTGTTTTATTGGATGTTTTTGTTGTTGCACAAATAAATCATGGAAGCAAAGGGTGGTTATTTCCCATTAGATTGCACCAAATTGGGTCAAACATCCTAAAATTGCAAAGGTGCACTAATGTGCACYGGCAGGAAGCCCTCACCTTTCTGTCAAGGACTAAATGAGAAACGATCGAAGCCTTTTGAGAGAAAATTTGCAGATCTGAGCAAGGATTTATTTCGCTCTTTACTTTCAGAGTCCCTCTACGATTGGCGAGGAGAAGCAGTACAACCCATTCCTGCGCAGCCACTCTGCGGAGCTCCACCAGGCCCTGGGGGTCCAGCAGTTCCACGACGAGGACTGGACCCAGTTCAGGGCGCGGGTTCTCGAGGAGCTACGGAAACRCAAAGATCTGTACAACAGGAAGTAGTTGTACAGAGGACCGCAATAAACCTCAGAGATCAGAAATAAGATTTCTTAGATCTTCAGCTGAACATCAAACTCATTTTTTTTAGAAAAGGTTAATATGATTTATTAATCTAAGTAGGCACGAGGATAATTTGAGCTTCATCATCACTCTAAATCTGTAAGCACAAGAATAATAAGTACATTTTATTATTACACATTACTAATGATCACATGAACTCTCCAAGTTCTGTAGTTTATTAWAATAAAGGATTTCAGGACTGTGAAATACAGCGTGACAAACACTAAATAACAAAATRCAGACTTGTACGAGAGGTTTGCCTAATTTACAAACGGGTACGATTTCTATTTCTAGTTTACAAAATATGGGAATAAAGAGGAAAYAGACCACTTTGTGTTTTATCCTTCTTTAGTTTAAAATAATTTATGCTTTTGTTGATCTTTTTAGGAAAAGCTGAAGCAGTGTTTGGTACCCAGCTTCACTTTCAGACCTGGTTTGACATTTTGTGCTGCTGATAATAGGTTTTTTTTATCCCTGAAAGTTGATCATTTTGGGAATTTAGTTTCTGATGTAGATTTTTTTTAATGTAGTAATTTAGCATACCTGTTAAATTATAACAAATCTGTTGTCTCCTGGGTACTTTTTGTTAGTTTGTCAAACATTTTGACAAAGACTGTTCTAATTGAGTTGTTTTTAAGAATTCCATTATGTTTTGTGACAAACAAATCTAAAATTGAGCCAAAGTTGAAACATATATTTAACTGTTTTGCAATTTGTTTGCTTAAAAGTGGTTTTGATATTTGAAGAGAGATTCCTTCTTGTGGTTGATTGAAGTAGTTTTCAAGATTCATTGACTTCTGTCAAACTTCCCACAACCACGTTTAAAAGAAATTAAAATAATACTTCAAATCAAATGTGGGAAATACTGTTGATTTTGATAAATGTGAATTGTAAGATATGCGAGTGACGGGTTTGACTGCTGTAAATTAAGCTGAAGGGAACATTTTCTACGGTGGACCATGGTAATCTGACTGCATTGTTATGAAGATTAAACACGCACAGAGGGACTGAATCAAATGATCTGTAGAAACAAACTCTGCAGCAATAAATTTGAATTTATTGTGACTGATTCAGTTTTATTTTGCCTGGTGCTCGTTTTACTGAAAATAAATTGTTTTTACAAAAAATGTACAAACTGCGGAACCAAAAACTGTTATGTTCTTCATTGTCATGAAAACTGTTCTAATAAATCTTGAAATGTGAAATTATTTTTTGGATTACTTCTTTAGCACAGAATTCTGCTAAAGCTCCAACCTTTATAAAACTTTTTTTTTATTTTATAAAATATCTTCACGTTTTGCTAGCAAAAGGCAATCTGTGTTGATTCTTTATCTGAATTGTTGAAAATGGGAGAAAATGAGGTTGATTGCTACATTTTCATTTTGTTACAAAACTGGATTATTATGTAAAGAAGTTTAATACTTGATTCTTGGAGATAAAAATAACTGGTATGTAGAGAAAGCTCACATGTCAAAAAAAAAAAAAAAACTACTTGAACTCATTACATCTGAGGGCAATAAAGAAATTGAAATCTATTAACAAGGTTAAGTCCAGATTTAGTTAAATGTTACAAAACAGTGAAGGAAATTATAACATTACAGCGAAACAAATAATAATTCTGTAATATTTATGGACCAAAATAAAAAAAAATAAAAGTCTTTAAACTTCAGAAAAGTTTTAAAAGTGCTTCACATTCCTCTGTTGTTCCTGCAAAGGTGCTACCTTCTCCCCTGCTGATTGTCGACTGAAATGTTTTTTCATTCGTTTGATGCAGATTTGCACCTGATTTGCATATGTTTGAGTTCTGAACATCACCATGCAGGAGACTGTTTTACTTCAGGTTATGTTTTAATGAGGAAGTATGAAAACAGATACTTCTGCTGGAGCCGTGTGTGTGTGTGTGTGTGTGTGTGTAGTCATTTGTTGTCTTTATGACTGTTAAAAACTGACAGATGATTTTTTTTCCCCTCCCGCTGCTGTAACTTTTAAATAAGTGTTTAACCTACTTCTTGCAGATGTTTTGTGAAGCAAAAGGATTATTTGAAGGTTTTAGTTGACAAAACAAGGCAATAAAATGTTGTGTAAGGACTAAATTTCATATCTTGTATGATCTTATATATAAAATATTTATGATTAAAACTTTAACAATACAAATTCCAATGCAACTTTTAATTTTACTATGTACATTTGCTAGTTGTACATTTATATAGTTTTTTTTTTCTTTTCGTTCAGCTGGAAATCACTCTTTTCTTAAAGGAAGATCATAGCAAGTGCGTTATGTTGGGTTTTCTTAATATTGCTCGGGTTTTAGTGATCAACATAATTCTGTATCTCCAAAAATAATTTCCACCTTAAATTCTTCATCTTCCAGTGTTTCTTTTGCTGACTCCCTCATTATGCATTGATTAAGCATCGGATTAACCCTCTGAATATACAGTATTTATATCACAATGCCTCCCTACCTTGAACCTTGTGTTGTACTATAACAAAAAAGAAATGTTTTATTATTGTTACTTATTTTTATTTTTTTAGCTTTGATGTAAAATGAGATGAAATTTCACCTCTATGTCCAAAGGACTTTAATATGATGATAAGTATTTTACTTCACTGAAAATTCTCCCCGTTTAATGAACATGGAAGTTAAAGTGAATTATTGAATGCATTTCTTTGTATTATTTATTGAAACTGGCTTTATTGAAAATGTCTCAAATTCTACAATGGCTTTGCACAACTTTCAAAACCTCAAATCATCATCCCTGAGCAAACAAAAAACATAATATAATATTTTAAATTATATTTGAATGATTTAAATTATACAATTAAACTAGATAAAAGTAGAATATTAAGCTTAATATTAATAATAATAATAATAATAATAATAATAATAATAATAATAATAATAATAATAATAATAATAATAATAATAATAATAATAATAATAATAATAATAATAATAATAATAATAATAATAATAATAAACTATCGCTTATTTTTTCTTTTTATTTATAAAGGACATCAACATCCTTCATGATACATTCAAGTACGCTGAGTTCATCGTGAAATCTAATGCTGGACCACCTACCACTAAATTTGTGTTATGTGTTACTTGTTAGGCTCATGGTTTTTAAAAGAAAACGCTCTGAAGTTGTATTTTTTTTTCTGGGTTTCCTGACATTTTATCCCGTTTGGATAAAGCTCAGCCTCTCCTCTACAGTCCGCTCCTGTGAATACTCTCTGCTCCGTGTTTTCTCGGTGGTTCCCTGAACGTCACCAGCTCAAGGCGGAAGTAGCRGCAGCTGCAGGTGCTTCTGAAACAGTTCTCCTGTCACTAACACGCTCAGCTTCTCTCTGACAACATGCTGAAGGCGGTTATTTTAATCGGGGGTCCCCAAAAAGGTGAGGATGGATCTCGTGTTTGTCGCCTTGTCGTCTTTAACCGCTTTTGTTTGTGTGTTTTTGGAGAGAAGCTAGGCTGCTAATGCTAACAGGCTGAGCTTGTTTATATGACTGACGTGGCTTAACATAAAACCCCACAAAGTAAACAACACAATTTAGCAGCATAACTTTGTTTTATGAAAACATATGTAGTGTAAACTCAGAATTACAACAAAAATAGTCTGTTTACAAAATAAAAGCACTATTATTTGAAAACACAGGCTTATTAAAACATCATTTGTCTTTGTCTTAATTGTCTTAAAGACTAGATGTCCCAGTATGTGTGCATCTTATCAGCTAATGCTTTTCTCCCTCTAAATCTTTTTTTAACAAACTTTTCACATTTTAAAAGAAAGGCATCACATAAAAACAAGTTAAGGGTTTTATGTTGCTAGAAACATGATTGATTTGACTTAAAATCTAATTTGTAACTAATCTTATTAATTATTTTCCAGGCACACGATTCAGACCATTGTCATTTGAAGTGCCCAAACCCTTGTTTCCAGTTGCTGGTGTTCCCATGCTTCAGCATCACATTGAAGCGTGTGTGAAGGTGAGTTATTTTCATGATTTACAAAATAATACCGTACGCATATTAAGGAAGCACGGCCCACATCTAAGTAAATAAGTAAGTAAAGTTTTATTTATATAGCACCTTTCATAGAAATAGATTCACAAGGTGCTGTGCAATCAGAGGGAAATCAAAAGGTTTGCAATCATAACAGGATATACAAAAATTTGGAACAAAAAGTATAAAAGCTGTACAACCATCAAAGTATCAAGACTGTGCAATCCGAAAAATAAAACAAGTAAATAATATCTAGACAAAAATGGGGAGGACTCACATCTGTGAGTCCAGATGCTTCGTGYCACATCATTTTAAAGAAAACAATCCAGATCTTTACTGGTGTCTATTGGGTTCCTTTTCTGATGATGTGTCATTCACCATGATAGATTTGCACTTTTTTTTTTCAGACCAGATGCTTTCTTTTTAAAATGTTACACAGCCCTTTAAAAATATTTCAATACAAACTGAACGGCTCAAAGCTTACACAGTATTTACATAAGGAATCCTTTTGGCTTGAGTTTTTACGTGACCTCGATTTAAATGAGTCTGAATGTTAAAATAATAAATAGCTGCTTAATAGTTTAGAGGAGTTGTTATGTTTTTTTTTTTTTTGTCCACTGCAGAAAAGTCTGTGAGAATAAAAACTGTCCACTTTTTAAAGGTACCAAACCTGAAGGAGATTTTGCTCATCGGTTTTTATCAGCCAAATGAAGAACTGAACAGATTTCTGTTTAACGCACAGCAGGAGTTCAAAATCTCCATCAGGTAAACAACACTGCCGTCGTCTGTCTCATTAAACATACAAATGAGTAATGATTTTTTTTTCTTAAACACCCTTCTGGGGGAGTTGTAATAATATAAAGCAAAGGTGCAATTTACCTTTTTGAAGTAAATAGTTTTCATTGTCTTTTCAATGATACGGCGCCCTGTAATGCACCAAGRCTGCTTGATGACTGCATGGATGTTTTCTCTGTTTTTGACTCTGCACTGCAGGTATTTACAGGAGTATGCCGCCCTGAGCACCGGAGGGGGCATCTATCACTTCAGAGATCAGATTCTCTCTGGGAGTCCTGAAGCTTTCTTTGTAATGAATGCTGATGTTTGTGCAGCGTTTCCTCTCACGGAGATGCTCAGCTTTCAGAAAGAACACGGAGAACCAAACAGCTTTGTTATCCTGGGGACAACGGTGAGRCTCTGTAGAACTTTTAAAACGTAGGGAATAAAAAAAAAATAGTAAATACTCATGTTTGTATCTGACAGTTAGCGTGGCTATGCTAGGGTTTTGATTTGAGAACATTACAGTGACATTCTTCTCTTCAGGCAAACAGGAAGCAGTCCTTGAATTACGGCTGTATTGTGGAAAATGAGAACACAAATGAGGTACTCGGCTAATCATTTCCCGTCTCTCCAGATAGATTCCTGTAACTCCGGGAGATTAGAATAATCAAAACAAACCCCCGTTTTGTTGCGCAGGTCTTGCATTACGTGGAAAAGCCGAGCACGTTTGTGAGTGACATCATTAACTGTGGTATATACCTGTTTAACCCGGAGATCTTCCAGCACATCGGCGCCGTCTTTCAGAAGAATCAGCAAGACATGTTGCTGTAAGTTTGATCACTCTCTCATCTGTAGCCACGTAATGACCATTCTCTCATTTCTTTGGTTCTTTTCATTTCCCCCTTCCTTTTCTTTTTCACGCCATATTTTCTGTTTCCTCATCGACTCATCAGCTATCCATATGATGGGTAAGTTTAGCTTGGTGTGGCTGTTGATCAGTTAGTGGATGGAGTGAGTTGTAGGTATAAAATCCACAATGAAGGCAAAAATTACAAGACTTTTCGTATGAATGCTTCCTGTCATTTTTTTGCGGTAATTTTCTCCAGATGCATGGTAGTTTTGAGATATTTGTGCTTGTGTTTGTGGATTTCTTATTCACTTGATAAAGAGAAGCTATAACCTAGGGCTGCGCGGTATATGCGGTAGACGGTAGAAATGGTATGAAGTTGGCCTATGGTAGAAATTTATACTCTACCGTCCTGTCGTCATTACGTCATCGCACCTGTATCAACTGGCTGCGAGTGCAGAGACAACTGAGCAGGAGTTTGAAATATGATGAAGAAATTCTAGCGTTTTAAACACGTATAGAGAGAATAAATCCTTAAAATTTCCTCCTCCCGCTGTTGAAAAGTTACGTCAAGTCGCGGCATCATTTCCTCCCCTCCCTCCCTCTCCTCTCCTTGCCTCCCGCTGCACATCACGCAGAGCGAAGCTTGAACAACTAGTTTTTCAAACCCAATTGGAGGAAAAAAAATGTTTTTTATGTATTGTTACCCAGAGAGATTATTTAAAAAAAAAGACGTGGACGTTCATTCAGTCATAAATCCATCTTGCTAATGTAGGCTAAAGTTGGCTTCTACTCTGAGGATGGAGATGAGCGCGCAGCAGCTGATAAGTTCAGCAGGCAGAAGCTCATTGTACGGCAGGCAGATATTAAAGCAAAAACGTTTGGTTTAATTAAAATGACAATTTTCTGCAAAATAATGCTCAAACAATTACATTATCTTAACTTTTTATAATAATTTTCTACCGCGATATATACCATTACCGTGAAGGGATTCAATTTATACCGTGATATGAATTTGAGGTCATACTGCCCAACCCTAGTACAACCTTAAGTCAGATGTTTTGTTTTGTTTTTATTCTAACTTAAAGATGGAAATTTAAACTACCGTGAATTTATCCTAAGATGGAATGTCCTCGGAAGTGATTTAGATACAAGATCAAAAACTTGTGTAAAGTTCAGCCAGTTGCCATTTACTCTATTTAATGTGTAGTACGAGGGAAGTATTCTGCTAATGTTTGAACCAGTGAGAAGTGTGCCACCTTTCCACACACTGAAACTCTTGTGCTTGCCCAGTTTTCAGTCCCCGGGTTAAAGCTAAGCTGCCAGCTGTTTGCTGTCATCAAACTCTTTGCTGTAAAGCAATCCTTGTTTTTTTTTTGTTTTTTTTTCAAAAGGTCAGATTTTGGTTCAGGAAAAAAGCCAAAATGCAGCTGATRTTTAGAGACACGAGTCAGAGCAGAGTTTTGCTTGTTTGTTGTAAACACTGTTTTTGTAAGTGCTTGATTTGCATCGTGCTACGTTCAAGTGTGTCCTCCTGATTTGAATATTTTTCACGTTAATCTACCCGCAGCTTGTCACAGAAGCCAAATACACCACAAGAGATCAATGTATGGATTTTTTTTGTGTGACATTTTTCTGTGTTCTTACATTCTTTTTAAAGCCACTGCCCCAACAATTAGCACACCGAGGACACTTTAAATACATTACAGAAAGATAAACCGTGGTATGCATAATTCACCTGCTAACATCAATAGCACTTAATTCAGACTGGGTGCTGACTCAGCAGAACTGTGGAGCACATCAGAGATTCTTGAGAGAAATGGGGGAAAGCTTTCGCCGCAGTCTCTCAGGGACCGCTCAGCCTCTTCTCACATCCACTCCTTTTTGGTAAAACTTTGATTATGGGTGTGATCCTTTTTTTAAAAATATTCTTTTTCATCAATATTTAACACTGTTTCATCTCCAGGGATTTCTACAACACACTACACCAYCGACTCTGATTAAAATGGAGCTTTGCAAACTCATCTACTTTAAGTTTTAGATAACTACAAAGTAATTGGTTTGGTTTCACCTGAACACTGTAATTATCAAAGCTAGTATCCGTGGTGGCTTTTATGTGTCTTATTTTGAACTTGAGGTGATATCCCAGGGCTATAAATGGACTTTGGAGATACTTGAGTTCGTGTTTGGTACACAAATGATTCTTTCTAAAAGGTAACTATAAGGAAACTCAAATTCTGCAGAACGCTGTTAACCGCCCACATTTAAAATGGGTTTGTTAGAGTAAAGAAACCTCTGAAACATGCAGGATAGTGGCCTTTAAGAACCAGGATTAGACATCCTAGTTATAGAAGAAGAGAAAAGTAAAACGGCATGAATGAAAATGTGAATAATACTAAATGAGAAACACTACAGAAATATGTTTGAGTTGTGCAAACATGAAGCCTCTAAACGACTTACATCTTCACTTCGTGCCACCAAAACATGTCCCTATCACTTCTTTGACATCAGAAGAAATGTTTATTTGTGAACTCTTGCTGTAAAAGTAACATCTTAAGATTTCGCTTTAATCTGCTGATGTGTGTCGCGCAGAGAGGAGCCGACTAACGGCTGGCACCGAGCGGAAGTCATCAGGCTGGAGCAGGATATCTTCACYGCCCTGGCAGGACAGGGCAAACTTTATGTGTACAAAACCCTGGGCTTCTGGAGCCAGATTAAATCTGCGGGGTGAGCGAAATGTCATTTTCAACATCACGGACGACCTCGTCCATCAAATGTCAGCTGCAGTCGGGAGACTTTATTTTTTGACTGGCATTTGCGTTGGCACCGCATCTAATGAYTACAATCAGCTGCATCCAGAATATTTGAAAAGAATACCCTTTTTTGTTTTGTTTATTCTTTTRTTGCTCTTGTTTATTTCGTATCAGGTCTGCAATTTACGCCAGTCGATTGTACCTCAATCAATACCACACAACTCATCCTGAAAGACTGGCCTCAAATAAGGAGGGTGGACCCAAAATAAGCGGTACAATTTCCAAACCCTGTGTAGCTGTGCCTCTTTTTCCTGCTGTCACAAACAAGTCTATTTATATTCATTATTTTCCTTTTGTCCAGGTAACGTCTATATTCACCCCACGGCCAATATTGACCCGACTGCTATGGTAAGAACTCTTCCATATTGAATGAAGACTATAAATAAAAACAGAGCGACACTGCGTAAATAATGTAATACATGTGTAACCTAGAAGAAATGGAATACAAATGTAATTTTCCCACAGTTTTTTTGCGGTCCGAAGGTTGTCCTCTAGCTTGAATGGAGAGCTGAAGTTATTTTTGTGCTGTGTGGCTATTTGAAGTTTTTTTTGTTTTTTCTCTCCTGTGCAGTTGGGTCCAAACGTCTCAATTGGTACTGGTGTGACTATTGGAGCTGGGGTCAGGGTTCGAGAATCCATCATTCTCCATGGTGCAAACCTACAGGTGAGATATACTCTGAGGCTTACTTTAAAGACAGCTTGATGCCACTCTGCCCTTTGGGATCACTTGTTTTGTCTTTTTGTAAGGTCTTACTCTCAAACACAAATCCTGAACCTCACCCTTATTGAGTTGAAGGTGAATTTGTTTGACAATTTAGCATCTTAGTAACATGATTTCAAGTCTGACGCTAGATTCTTGATTATAATGAATGTTAAACTTGTGATTTTTGTTGTCATGTTCTTTATTTAAGGATCACTGCTGCGTTTTAAATAGCATCGTGGGATGGGAGAGCACCATTGGCAAGTGGGCCAGAGTGGAAGGAACTCCCAGTGACCCCAATCCGAACGATCCCTTCGCAAAGATCGACAGCGAGACGCTTTTCAGAGAAGGAAAACTCACACCTTCTATCACTATTCTCGGTAAGTCTGGTTGAATGTGGAGTGGTGCGTCTCTTTTTAACTTCATAAGAACATTATGAAAGCTGGGGGCATAATTTAAAATTGCAAAAATATTGCATCATCATTAGAATTTAAAAAACACAACTCAACAAGAAGTCTGATTTCTTTTTCTGCGAATCAAGTCGGGATTCTTAATCAAAGGTGTTTCATTTTATGAGTTTTAAAGGGATCCCTGATTAGTTGTAACATTAGACTTTATTTAATAAACAAATATTTTAAATGTAAAATAAAGACTGTAAAAATACTGTAGGATGTTCAGTTTTTATTATTTTTAAAATAAAAGTTAAAAAATATATTACACAGACGGGGCCATTTTATTTACACGCAAAGCATTCTGGGTAAATGATGATGTGGATAGGTCATCGGTGCAAGGCTGCTAGCGAGCTATATCCACCCTGAAGGTTAATCTTGGACAATATCTGATGATCGACTCTTTTAAATGAAACCAGAGAGCGTTGACAGAGAGGAGAAGGTAGAAATGACTCAGCCAGTCTGGGCTGGGGGCATCTGGTGCGCTGGTGGTCTGCGGTTCTCATGGGCTGGGGTGTAGGGTTGGCTGGGGGCGTGACATGGGGC